AGCAAATAAGAGGCTATGGGGTGCGTGATCTTCCCCAGGAGGGGAGGTAGAACACCGTGATAGAAAGGAAGAAAGAGGAATAATGGAGCAGTAAGAATCAAGTGCAGGGGCGAGTAAAGGAGGGCATGGAGTAGGGACAGCTAACACTAGGGCCTTTCTGAGAGAGCCATAGAAAACCCCACAAGAAAGGATTACCTCTTCTTGAGTTGTTCATCAGTGGGATCTCATAGACCCTCAGATATTACAGGCCCCTGGTTACCCTCCATAGCTCAGTGGTTGGAGCATTTAGAATGTATTGACCGGAAACTTAAATAACACTTTGTGAAATGTATTTGTGTTATTCTGGTTTCTTGTCTCTGTGACAAAATGTCAGAGAAAATAATTTCAAAGAAGAATTTGTTTTGGCTCAGTTTCAGATGTTCAGCCCATGGCTGGCTGGCTCCTTAAAGAGTCAGGACAAACTTTACCATTAGTTCCTATAAAAATTAAAAAGAAGCTTACATGCCTCCAATATTCAATGACATGGAGTAAATATTGCCATTCCAAAATAATGTTGAATTAGGGATAAGACGGGGGGCTAAGACCACAGCAAGTCCAAAATCTAACAGAAAAAAAATCAAAATTCTTTAGCTTTCTATGCAGTATCTGAGGCATACATTTAAATGCACAAGGCCCTGTTCTTGTACTGTTGGTAATATGGCCTCTCTTTAGGACTGGCTCTACTAACTTCCGTGGCCTAAAAGTTCCTCAGCATATGTCCCGTGTTCCCGACACTCCTAACGTCCAACAATCTTTAAAGCATGCTCAGCTTCATTCTCACACCTTCAGACGGTCTGCGTGAGGACGGACTCACAAACACCTTCAGACGGTCTGCGTGAGGACAGACTCACAAGGACTTCAACCATGCCACACACTGCATGCACCCGCCGAACCCCAAGCTTCCTGACCCTCCTCTTTACTCTGCATGCCTGCAAAGCTAGCTCCACATGCACAATGTCGAGACTTGCTGTGAGCTCAGGCACGGAGGAGGACCCCATAGACCACATCTGCAGAAGTTTCGGAGTACCTGAGTGATAAGGACAGGGAGACATATCCTTGGGCTACTCTGTGTGAGCAGAGCACTCCAGCATGGTCAATTAGTTCTTTAATTCAGTTCATGCCTTTAGACCTTTGACCTTGCTCAAGATATAATTTCTGTATCTTTGACTCCATAGGAAATATTTGGTTGTGGTGAGTTATGGGTTATTCTTATCCTTATTCTTCCTTTTCCTCCATCTCTTTTTCATTCTTCTCTCCATGCTGAGGATTGGACCTAGGGCCTCAGATACATGAGTTCCACACCCTGCCGCTCAGTGACATATCAAGCTCTTTGGCTTCTTTCTAGTTTCACTATCTCTTTAACAACCACATCTTTCTTGATTCCAACTTTAAAAACATTCATTTCCTGGGGAAATTTCAAGTTTTCTAACCCTTCATATTTTCCTTTTGTTCCCAATTTTCATTGTAAAGTGGCGAAAAGCACCTAGCAGTATTTAAACTATGGGCTAAATGCATTGAAATTTCTTCTGTTTCTTTTAGAGTTAATTTCCTGCAAAGTATTTGGGCACGGCCTGAATGCAGACAAGTTCTTCCCAGTGTATCCCGAGTAAACAGTCTTCGGTACAACTCACCAAAGAACATTCATTTCTATCTGAAAGCTCCTCATGAGTAGCTTCTACATTCTTTATTCCAGTTAGCGTTTTCCCACTAGAATCTCTCACAACGGTGCTCTGCCTATAACACCATACCTCTTTTCCACTTCATAGTTCTGCAGAGTTCCAGACCCGCCCTTACAAACCAGTGCTAAATACTTCAGACTGTCAATGGTAGGAAGAGTTAAAGCCCTGCGTCCCCTTCTCAGATACCAGTGGGTTTGTTTGTTTGTCAGTCAGTGTTTCACTTCCGTATTTAAAAAGAAAAAGAAAAAAGTTATTGACTCATTATTTCAGCAATTTTAGTCCAAGGTTAGTTGAATCATTACTTTGGGCTGAGTTAATTCAAAATATGGACTATATAGCGGCATGACCACTTCATGTCTAGTAAGAGCAAAGACAGGAAGCTGGAAAACTACATGACCACAGCGCACATCCCAGTGCTCTGCTTTGTCCAAACATCCCTTTTACTATTTCCAATAATGCTATCATACTGTGAATACACCAAGAAGTGACTATGCTAACTGAACTGGGTTCCATGAAATCTACATATTTCACCAATAGTTCCAGACATGAATTCATTTCTGTGGAGTGGGCCTTAACTGCAATCATAAAATGATTGGTTCCCATTGTAATAACATGCCACTATTGCTTCAGTTAGGACATCCTGCCTGGTCATTAATGTAGCACAATGGTCTACAGACAAATAAGATTATTGATGATTACCTTTCACCATCAGCCTGTGCAGAATCTTTTAGTACTATGCACACTGTCCATGAAAGAAAGAGCTACCGTCTGAGTTGCAGGTGGTCTTTCCCACCCTACAAGACTGGGTACCATTTTCATCAGTAAGATCTTACAATACAGTTATGGTGGAAAACTAACTGCAGTGACAATTACCTGAATCGTTTAAGAACTTCTCCAACCAAAACCTCAAGGTATAATGCCAACACTTGCATTGGGATGTTCATTTAACAACCTATGGCTTCCAAAAAAAGCTGTATCCACCCATGCAGAGTAACTTTACAGAGAAGATATTTTAACCTAGAGTCCTATGCGTGAATCTTACGGAAGATTATTTTTCCTAGCTTTTAATCAAACCATCACACGTATCATTTGCAGGCTACATTACATGTTATTGTTAGTAGCATTTTTTCATAACCAGGAACTATAGACATTTTCATAATATATTTCGTGGAATACACTGAAGTTTAATCTGAGGCCATTATTACTTCAAAATCATTTATAGAATTGACATGTCGTTAGTCCTTGTCATTCACAGAATCACCAGAGCTGAACATGCAGTACCACTGTGTGTCAAGAAGATCCCCTTGCTATACTAATATTGCATTGCGGTGTAAGTGGAATTCTTTCTGATTGAAGGTATTTTGTTTACAAGTTTTATTTTGAAAAAAAAAAAAAAAAAAGAACATACATTTGATCAGACTAAAGGGAGGGCCTAGATTGTATTAGAAAAGTTGGAAAGTTTGGATTCCATGGATGTTTTCCAAGATCCATTACATCCAGTTCTGAAAGGATGATGTCAAGATTATGAGCCTAAAGTGACTTACACATGACATTTCCAAATTAATTACAAAGGTGTCTACATCTAAAGATGTATGTAAAATAGTGTGCTTTTGATAGGTGAGATCTTTAATTTTTATGAATAACCCAGCGTCTATGAACTCACTTGGCAAGACTGTATGTGTGTACTTGAAAATACCAGACCTCACAGTTTGAAACAAGGATTACTCTTGCTTCTGCAGAACTGCACACTTAGTCAAAATACCTACTGCTTTTCTAATTGTACTTACAGAATTACTCTAAGATGTCATTCGTATATCATTTTGAGATTTATTTTTCAGTTATTTCTATTTTATTATTTAATTCTTCTATTTTTCCAGACTGATAATATTTCACTAGAAATAAAATTATTGGATTAAGTACATTTTAGTGTCCTTTACCCATTGTAAAAAGTTCTCTCCAAATGGGATAAATGTTTGTGTTACTTTCTTTTAGTAACATTTTTATCTCTGTCATTTGTTCTTTTCTAGTAAAGTGTGTTTTGTTAGTTTCTAATCTGGTCTTAAATAACAGGATATTAAATTTAAACCAAGGCTCAAAGATGATAAATGTCAAAGAAAAAACCAAACTGTGATGATCAGTGTTGAAGAAGATTCATAACCTATTATATGCTTTTTAGTTTGAGTTCAAATAAATGAAATATTAGTTGCTGGAAATAGAAAAGTGTTTATAAAGAAAATTCCAGTAAGAGTCCCTAGAGTGGAGATGTAGAACTGCCTCTTTCTCCCCCAAATCAGTGGAAGAGAATTTCCCTGAGAAGAGAAAGCTTGTAGCTTAGAACATTGGGAATGGAATATAATCCTACCTGAGAGAGTTATGTGAGCCAATGTGGAGAAGACTGTGTAGGTTTGAGATTTCCCCCCAGAGCATTATGGGAACAAATGCCTCAGGAGGGTTGCATGTGAACATATTTGAATGGAACAAGAGCTGGATTGTAAAGGCAAGTTTCTGGGAGGTGGAAAGGCAGCCAGATATTCTTGTTCTGTCAGCAGGCTGGGGTGAGTCTCTAGGCATGGTCCTTAGTGAGACATATCTGAACAAATCACCCACTCACGCACAAGAGTCAGCCTCCATACCTGCCTGGTCTAACGAGTGTAACTGAGTTGTGCTGGTACTGGTCCAGGAGGCACTTGGATCTCCCTTTATGTTTATTTGAAACTTTATTATTCAATTTTTGATCAGTTCTCTTCATTGTCTTAGGAAGCATCGGAACATTTTCCGCACTAATTGCTTTCCTTATCTTCAGAGTTTATATAAACCTGTTTATATAAAGCTCTAAGACTATAAATTATATTAATGTGTTTTGGCATATTACTTTATCTGAAACATTACTTTTCTCTCATATTCGTTCTAATTTGTTTTACATTCATAGCGGTTAATCAGTACATGATTAAAGACACTGGTCATTAGGGGATTTGTTTAAACTTAGTTTCAGTAAAAAAAATATTCAGGAAAACCATGCTGTCCCGTGTGAGTCATACATTCATTTCTGTGTTTGCAGACTAAGCTGCAAGGTCAAAGGTTAAGCAGTCATGAGAAGATGTGTTGTTGTGATCTGTAATCCCCTAGGCTGCAAAGAAAAATGCTCCATCTTTGGAGAGATGTTTTACAGAACCACGATAAAATACAGCCTTCAACATTTTACACATTGCTGTCTCCTAGGAATATTAATTCTTTCCCAAAGGCCAATTTTGTTTTACCTGTTTTCTATTTGATGTTTTTTAGGTGAACTTGATCTTCATGAGAATTCAGAAGACTTAGGAAGTAGTGAAGAAAAGTGTGCTGACACACACCCGTAGATCTGAACAAACCTTAAGAGTTCAGTTGTTTTAAACATAAGAGGTAATTTTGCCTTCGAGACAAGAACCTAATTCCTAAACTGAATTGTTTATGTAACACCTTTAGAGACAAAGGACTTTATTTAAATATTCTGCTATTTTTTTAAATATGCTTTTTTGTCAACTAAACTTTATTTACTAAGATTACAATTTAATGCTTTTAGCACAATAAATCATATTTTATAGGGTTTATTGAAAAGATTCCAGAAGAAATCCTTACAGTGGGAGAAGAGGGAGACTTGCATTTTCTAAGATGTATGGGAACTATTAATAACACAAGTATCATGTTTGCTGGAGATCTGTGGACAATCTGGCACTTGTTTTTAGAAATGTCCCCTGGAATTTTTCTGTCTGCCAGACTGATAACCCTAGAAGTGAAGCTCTAGAAATATGAAGGCTTAATGGGGTGATATATTAACATTAGTGTCCATTCAAACAGAACTACTGCCTTGGAAAGGCATGGGGTGAACAGTCAGTTAGAAAGGAGGGTGCATATAGCACAGATGCCTTGAATTTTACAAAATGCATGTGAAGCAAACCCCGAGTGTTATGAGGAATATTACGTTGGTTGAGGAGCCGGGGCAAGGGACGATGCCGGAGGCGCCATTCCATGCCCTTGAGCTGTTGTCATCGCTCCTTCGGATGCCAGTATGAGAGCGTTAAATGTGATTTGGCTTTTATGGTGATTCTTCGGTATTTGGGAAAGACTCTCACGTGTGGACATCTTATATATGCTACGTCTAGTATCCCCTGTTGCCCATGATTCCTTTTTATACTTGAAGTTTGGAAGTAAATCACGTCACCAAGTGGTGCGTCAGCATCCCACACTCATCTTTATATTTAACATCGGTAGATTCAGTCGTAACGACTGTCCACACATTCCATACAGATGGCGCATTTGTCACCTCTAGAGATCCTGGGCATTTCAGGTGGATGCGAACTGCTGTTCCTAATGGTAAAACTCTTACTTCCGGGAGAGTGTGTTAGCAACCCAGGCTTTATTACATATCACATCACCACAAAAGAAGCAGAAAACTGCACGGCCCAGCAATTTCTGAACATTTCTCTCAACACGTATGTAGGGAATACAAGTCACCAGTGTGGTTCCTGCAATAACTTTTCCGTGTATGGAACTGAGAACTGTGCAAACACAGACATACAAAGCAGAGCTAGGAAGGGATTGTAATTTAGCCAAACCATTGCAGTTCACAATGGTAAATCTCTTATTTCCGGGAGAGAGTGTAAATCCCATGTGAAACTGCCATGTAGCTAGCACCTAGGTGATATTCTCCATTTTCTTCTTTGTAGTTGCCCAAACCTGTGTTTATCAAATGTGACATGTTTGGAGCCTGTCGTCTTCAGGGGTGGCTAAAGTGAACAAAATGCTGGAGGTGTGGCCTCCCGCACTTGGCACACTGGTGGCCGGTGAACAGCCGAGCTCAGCAACTTTCAAGAACACAATACGCTATTATCTACTGTATCTTGTAAATATGTATTTTGAGTTTATTATTGTGATATAACTGAAAGTTTGTATCTTCTAATCAACATCTACCCAAGCTTACCTTCTCATCCCTTCCCTGATCTAATTTTCATTTGATTTTTATTTCAGGAAAATGAAAGCAGCATGAAAAACATGCAAAGCCCTTGACTTTCTAAAAAATTATAGTTGGCGCAGGCCATTTTAGTGAACTCATCTGTAAGGAATAAGAGCATAAAATTCAATCTAATAACTGGGCAAAGATACCGGAGAGCTGTCATTAGGATTCTGTCCACTGTTTTGCTGTTGTTTTCCCTCCATGATTCGGCCATCTTCAGTCGAGTCAGAGAAAGCTTTAGGACTGAAAACTGGACAGTTTCAAGTTTTCATCGCTTTTCACTTGTTGCAGAAGACACTTTTCAATGTACTTCTTGCACTGTGTTCCTCAGTCTGCTGCTACAACGGAATTTAAAAAAAAAAAGAGACAGACAAAAATAAACAAGAAAAGTAAAAGAAAGCCAAAACAAAATGATGGAAAACTGAGTTTTCTTGCAGTGCTGGGCTGGTAAGACTGTCTCTTGTTTTAAATGTGTGGGAACAGAATAAGAACCGAGGCTGTGGGGAAGTTGTTCCTGAAGTCTGAGCAAGAGCAGTTTGTGGGAGCCGCTGCACAGGGCTGGGATGCAGGCCTCTCTGCCTCTCCAGCAGGGCAACCGCAGCGCCCCTCCCCCGGAGCCAGCGGCACCATCCTGCAGCCATCCCTGTGGCTTTAGGCACTAATGTAGAACCGGTCTGTATGTGGTCAGTAACCAGGAGCATGGGCCACTGCAGGAGATGAGCACTTGAAAGAAAACCAGAATTTTCCTTCTGCGATATTGTTCCCAGTAGGATATAAAATAAATCACAGGCTGGGGCCCTGAGGCGTAAGAGGTACGTGTGTGTGTGTGTGTGTGTGTGTGTGTGTGTGTGTGTGTGTGTGTGGTGTAGGTGTGTGTACTCATGCTTAGAGGTGTATATGGAAATGGAAACCCACACTTTTCTGTATAGATAACATTATTTGATGTGACTCCTTAATTTTTCTGAACAGAAATGAACCACACCCCTCAGAGGTCCTGCTTCTTTGCCTTGTTTTGCCTGAGCATGTGTGAAGCCTTTCCCTGACCCAACGGCCTTTTCCTGTTTTTAGCTAACAAGAATGGTCAAGCCCAATTAGATGTTGTAGCTTTTTCTCTGTACATACCTTTCAGGGACTGTGAGCCTCTGGGAAAGTGAACTTTGGGTGGAGAAAATCGAGAGCAGCCGTCAGTTAGGTGATGCGCAGAGGGGTTGGCCCACCCTGATCAGATGCCTCTTGCACCTGCTTTTCCCCGGGGTCCACAAGGCAATATTTCAGAGAGGGGCGTGACCAGAAGCTTTTAAGCCTAAGCAGTGAGGTCTTCCCAACTCACGGCTTAGATCTACTTTAATGTGGAAGCCATATTCTCTATGCATATTTAGTATGCATTATTGTAATTTAAGATATATTTGTGTGTGTGGACTGTATGAAATGCTTTTAAATGTTATGTGAATTAGATTCTTAGTGTCAGTGTCCTCTAAGTCTCGTGCAGAGCACAGCTAAACAACTGACGTGTATCGTAGACACTAATGTGCTGGCTATTAAATGTCAGCACAGAGACTGACCTAGAGCCCTGTGTTGAGAAGATTAATAGAAGTGCGCATCGTAGTAGCCTTTGCCCTTTAAAGCGGACTTTCTGTTTCTATTTATGGAGAAACTGTAACTACTGCTTTTAATGTCTTCTTTTTTAAATGAGATATTTAGCATCTAGAAAATGTTTTGCTTTCAAAGTAGAATCTCAGAGTCTGAGAACTCTAGTCACTATTGATCCTAATTGAGCCAGTTGTTTTTCAGCACGGCTAGAATCTTCGGAGGGAAGAATAAATTGAAACCCCGCTTCCCCTGGGGCACAGAGCACACACGCCTGTGGTCTCTGCGCTTGGTTAAATAAGGGGCGGTTACACACATTGGTTACTGTATGTGTGCTAGCCTCATTGTCCAGATCACGTGACTTACAAAGCGCTGTGACCAGTGTGCAGGGGGACCTGGGGAGGCACACCTCTTCAGGGCCATCACACTGCCTGCTGCACTCACTGCGGCCCTGGCCCCCCTCTCTTTTGTTCCTATCTCCACTGTTTGCAATGTGTCCCCCTTTTCGGCTGTGGCCTTTCGCACTCCTCTCCTCTTTCTCTCTCTGGAAGACAGCTCCCCCTGGGAGCTAATAAGTCAAGTCAGACTGGAGCTCACATGTGCTGTGCCTTTGCACAGATATTGGTATACGAGCCCACACCCTGAGGCCAGACTGTCTCTCCACAGGCTGCTGCACCTGCTTAGCAATTACTCACAGCTACCGACCACATACTTGTCGGTTCATGCGCCTTTCCAGTTAACCAGGACTTTACACCTTTCACATGACCACCCATGATTCTTGTGTTTTTATGATGCTGTAACTCTGTATTTCCTACTATGTATGATTGCTAAATAAATAATATTTAATGGTAATTATCCTGACCCATTTAGCATTCAGTCGAATTTCTTTTAGTACATTGTTGACAGCTTGGGGAAATCTTGAGAAACTGGGAGTAAACCAAATGAAAAACTGATTTGAGTTTGGTCAGAATATGACTTTTTCCTATAAAAGAAATGATCCTTGATGCAAATGCTTGGCTGAAAGAATGGCTCATGTATAAACATGCAAATGAGAGTCTTTCCTCTGGGAATGTCAAGTTTTACAGATGAGCCATCCCCAATTTATATACAGTATGCAGAATGCCACATACAAAGGTAACTATTTCCATCCTCGGTGACTCCAAGAAGAGAATAAAAGCAGGACATAGTTGACAAAAATAATAAATACCAAGAAAATAAAAAATATTGCCTGTTTTCGACGTGGTTTCCATGTAACTTAATAACAAATGTTATTTTTATTTTAACAATAATCTCGCTGTGATACAATCAAGGAAGCCAAGTCTTAGAGAAAGGTTCTGGTCCAAACCCAAGCAGTCCAATGCAGATGCCACCAATTTGATTCTGGATATCTGTGGTACCCGAAAGACCTATTCTTCTTAATACATCTATGTGGAGTGGGCTGGAGGCTCAGAGAAGAAAACCTTGTGGAAAGAGAATGTTGATATAGCTGCTTATTCGTCACTTAATACGAATCTTAGACAATAAAGACTCTGAATATTTTAGAGTCAAAAGTACTGATAACATGTATTATAATAGTATTTCAGTGGAAGAATTATAAATATTTAAAATGGATACATACATATTTATATACTGTTTGGGACATTTCATTTCAGAAAAATGATTAAACAGCTTTCTTTATATCTCAAATGAAGATGTTTTTAATCTCAGATAATTGAAGATCAAATTTATTTTATTTACTACATTTCTGTATTACATTATTTTCCCCTTTTTATTTTAATAGAGAACATTTGGGGGCAGGTTGTTGTTGTTTGTTTGTTTGTTTGTTTGTTTCCAAGAAACACCTAAATTTAGGTGAATGAGAAATACCTTTAATCAAGAATTGAACATCTCCCCAGCACATCCTGCTTTGTAGGATGACTTTGTAACCCATCTCACTGTAAGAAAAATCAGGTGAATGTTTAGAAGAAAGTACTAAATGTCACTCCAACACAGACATTAAGGTGAAATGAATTGCTTCCTAAGAAATCTGTACTCATAGTGTCAGGATTGGCACTTTCCCATAGGGTGGGTCTTTGGTTGGGCCAGGTATTGGTTGGGTATTCCCTCAATGTCTGCTCTGTCTGGTCTATCTTTGTCTTTGCACATCTCATAGGCAGGATAAAGTTTGGGTCGAAGTTTTGGTGTTTGGGTTGGTGTTCCTCTCCCTCTGTTAGAAGACTAGTCTAGTTTGAAGGTGTCCTCTTCAATCTCTATGGCCTCTGCTACTAGGAGTCTCTGCTTGAGTCCCCCTCATATCCTCCCAGGAGCCTACCCTGACTTAGATGCTGAGACTCACAACCAAACATAGGGTGATGTGTAGGGAGTCTTGTGGAAAAGTAGTACGAAAGAGAAAATGACCTGAAAGTGACAGGAGCTCCACAAGAAGACCAACAGAGCCAACTAACCAGGGCCCAGAGGGGCTTGCTGAGACTGAAGCACCAACCAAGGACCATGCAGGAACTGGACCTAGGCCCCCTACAAAGATGTAGCAGATGGGCAGCTTAGGCCTCATGTGGGTCCTCTAGTAAGGGAAGTGGGGACTGCACTGGACATGGACTCACTTGCCAGCTTCTAGATCACTTTTCCCTGGTGGGACTGCCTTGCCAGGCCACAGGGGAAGAGGACATGCTCAGTCCTGATGCAACTTGAAGAGCTGGGGTGGATGGGAACGGGAGCTCCCTTTTCCGAGGAAAAGGTGAGGTAGTAGGGGAAGGGAGGGCGGGAGAGTGGGACTGGAAGAGGAGGAGGAATGGAGGTACAACGAAGATGTAAAATGAATTTAAGAATATGTCAACCACCGTTATATTTCAAATGAAGCCAATAAAAGTTATTAATTTAAAAAAGAGAACTCTCTACTTGATGCTTACCAGGCACAAAAGAAGGCTAGAACAATGAAGAACCCCGTCGCATAGTTCTAAATAACCACAGGAGGGGAAAGAGATGAATAAAGGGTACAGAAGGGGCTGATGTTCTCAGCACATTTGATAACATTCTTTTCTGAATGAAATGCCTTGTCTGTGCAGTAAGTTCCACACAGCACTGACCTCTAGGCTGCGCCTTGCCCTGGAATTTAAAAGAACCCTGATAGTGGAGGAAGTCTTGAAGCAACCATCCTCATGCTGTGACCCTTTAATACGGTTCTTCATGCTGTGCTGACCCCTTCCCCCAACCATAAATTTACTTTTGTTGCTGTTGCAACTGCAATTCTGCTACTGTTATGAAGCGTAATGCAAATATTTGTGTTTTCTGATAGTCTTAGGAGACTCCCTGAAAAGATTGGTCAACTCCCAAGGGGGTCACAGCCCACAGGTTGAGAACCACTGATCTAAGCTCAATAAAATCCCCCATTTTGTTCCATGAACCACGGTTCTGCAGAAGCCTGTTCTGGAATCAAGATTGGCACAGCAGCTCTTCCCTGTTTTTCACAAAATCACCTAAGTAGATGCTAAGTCAGGACAACTTTGTCACTGGGCCCAGCAGAACACTGCACTCTCCTTTCGGGTAGCAGTGGGTCCTTTAGTCTATTATCACTTTCTACATGTGAGCAGCAACTAAGTTATCTGTGCCTTGAGTTTAGTGATCTGTGGCTTGGTACTGACGGTTGCGGAGACTTTCCCTCCATAGTGGCTGCACTCGGACCATTCATGTTGGGCCATTGAATCAGTTGGTTGGGTCACTTACACCTTCATCAAGGGAAGTGGAGGGATCGAAGGTGTGCGCCACCATGCCTGGCTGCAATCCTAGTTTTTATCCTTTCTATTCCCTATAACTACTACCTGAGAAGAGTAGTTTCAGTTCCTATCTACAATCCACAGGTGTGGCAAAGCGTAAAATTATTTGTGTAAAGTCATGTATCTAAGAAGTGGAAGGAACTGGGCATGGTGGCACACACCATGTAATATGAGACAGGGCAGGTGGATCTTTGTGAGTTCAAGGCCAGCCTGGTCTACAAAGTGAGTCCAGGACAGCCAAGGCTACACAGAGAAACCCTGTCTCGAAAAATAAACAAACAAAAAGTGAAAGAGCTACGGAAGTCTGACTCAAAATCAGCAGGCCACAGTTCTCATCATTTCTACAATTTACTCCATTTTCAGACATTTATTCCTAAAACTAATGTTCAAAGAGGGCAGA